AAAAAGGCAATTATTAAACATTGCTCATTGTCTGTAAATGTAAAAATTCTGTATGTGAGAAGCTATTTTTTTAATCATTGACGCAAATTTAGCTTTAATGATTACACAATATTAAGAATGAGATTGACGAATTCTCTTTACCTAAACAAGGCTGTGTATTTGCTTCCAGTATTTGAGATAAATTAAGTGAAACCTCGTAGGAAAGATTAATACAATCATTCATTTACGCAAGGATTATACACAAAATTTATCAATCGGTTCCAATAAGCAGTATGAAGTAGCGCAACTAATTTTGCATTAGACGATGCTTGCTATTGTTATTGTTATTGGTATTAAATGCATCAGGCAAGTAATTGAGCAAACGTAGATTAGCTGTTGAATATTTGAAATGAATTCTTATTGTTCCGATTTGCAGGTAATACAATTCGTTTTATTCGCGTTTGTTCGAAAATTAACCTGATAGTAGTAATTACTGGTTAGCTATCTTACTTCTGCACACTGGTCGAGAGTTTCCAACATCAATTTCCATTTCTACAGTAAATACCCATTCAAGCAATTCAGATGCCATTTCGGCTTAACATGGCTCATTCTCTTTCTTTCATTTCATTCAGGATATCTGTTCGAGAGTACTTTGCTAGGAAAGTATTCATTTAGGTTATTTGGGTAATCCAAACAACATCATTCGTATTTAGTCTTGGCTTTATCTTGTTGGGTTCTTATGTCTGCAAATGAATTCTATTTTACTTGCGAGTAATTCAACGCTTCATTAGAATTGTTAGCTATAAAGCAAAACTTCTCAAGCAGAGGAAACAGAATCTGTAGTTTAAACTGCAAGAGACTTCCTAGGTAATACCGCTGTTTAGTACCGAAATTACAATACAATGAAATGTGTAAAATACATTTGAACTTACACCAATTCCACCGTCAAGATAAGTACTTTTAGTCCAAAGGACTTTGTCCCTGAGGGATTGCGATTTTGCGTCGAATCACTCTGAATGTTCATTTCACTTTTCAAACTGTTGCCACCAAATATTATCGCCCTGTATTATATTTAAAGAAATTAAACAATGAAGAATCTGCATAAATGTATGTATGTTTCTCGCATTGTGATAAAACAACGGTATCTACAGCTATCCAATTTTGAATGACGTAATCCTACTGTGAATATGGGCATCTGGAAGACCAAATTTGAAATTTGGAATTTGTTTTATTATCGATTTCCTATTTTGTAAAACTTTAACGAATTTTTGATTAACATACTCAAGGATTTCAAAGCGAGTAATGGCAACGTTGTACAGAAAAAACCTTTTTATCTCCAGCGCGTGAGAGTGTGTATCGGAAATTCTAAAGATACGGCCATTTTAAAATTATTTTGTGATATTGCTCTTGAACTGAATTTTATGGTTTAAGTGTGGAGAACATGATATTTAATAAATAAAGGTAGCACACAAAATGTTAAAAAAATGCCCCTTTGGACGTAATTTAAAATATGAAACCTTTCAGATTTTTTAAAAAATTTTCTTTGTTCTTTTCCTTTCTTCTATATTTCCAGTATTATACGGTTACGCGTAAGATCATCTAAATGATATCAGAAAACGAAACTTTCAAAATCGCTAATTAAAGCTTTCTCGTAGAGCTTTCATCATGTGCAACTGCTCGCACGAGTCAAATTTTTTAAATCTTTTAGCTGCGCCATCACGTGATGAACAAGCGCAGAAATGAAAATTTGTATACGTACACCTCTTCTTACTGCATCGCGCACTTATTCTAATTTTGCACCACTCTGCTTCCTTTCATTTTATGGTTACTGTGGTTAATAGTGCTGTCCATTGTTAGCAATTATCCAGCAGTGTACACTGCGCAAAAGAAAAAGGAAAAGAAGAGGACAGTTCTATATCTTTCGTTTTACTGGAAAAAATTGGTATGACATTTCAGAAAAAGTTCCACTTTGTGTCAAAATATCTATGTTAGAACATTGCTATATATAAATCTAATACATACCCTAAGTCGCGCTTTCGACATATGAAAATCGCAAGTTGAATTTTGTCAATCGGCTCAGTAGAACGGGAGGCATATTTCACAAGTGCACATCAGCGTAGCCACTGAAGAAGGGGTTTCGAAAATGGATCAATGAGCTTCTATTGCTCTTGTGACGCTAAATCTTTGAACCTGTGAGCGTATGTTGTTTACGTTTTAATTTGCATTAGTTTCGCAGTTATAAATGTATGGCGTAATTAATAGTAGAAAATCTCGTAGTGCTTTCGTTTTATGAGTTTAATTAATCGCTCACCTTTCAATTTCGTGATTTTTATCACTCATTAATATTCGGATTGATGTTCACGGCATATTATCATCGCTCTTTACATCGAGAAATTTACTTAAGCTACAATTAGCCTCGAATATTATGCATTTACTAACACCTGTGGATTAAGAGAATTCAAGCGTATGATTTTTTTTAAAATTCTGCTGAGAAGGACTGAAAGTGTTACAACTTGTCTAGTTTTTCTTATTTCAGTGCTTGCATTCTTTTGATTTTGAAAGTGTAAGATTCTGAATAATATTACGTATGATCTGATTATATCTATTGTTAACATTAAAAGTTAATACGTGAGTAAATTGAATATATTCGTTGTAAATAAGATAAATTCGTTCAGTTTGATGAGTATTTCTTGCGTAGACAGTACATATAAGAGTGAGAAGTTATTAAATGTGAAATTTAACACACTAAATATATGCGAATCCAAATTAGTAAAGTTCACTTTACTTTGTACCTTGACTCCTTTCTTTCAATATACATGTATTTATTAGGAATACAGTATACATTGGAATAAAATTCTGCATTGGTTATTATAACATCTTTTTCATATAGACTGCAATAAAAGTTACTGAGTTATATTTATATACATATTTGGTATAAATATTTTTCTCATATGCATAGTTTTTTTAGCATTTGGGCTCAGACGTTAACACATATTTCTTTCTTCATCTTATTAACTACTTAATAAGTAATATTTCACATGGATGTTTTTGCAGAGTATCCAACATTTGTTTGTATTTATTTCAAATTCCTTCAACCAGATAGGTGACAGGTGAGAGCAGGTCCGGACACCCGGACGGCTTACATAGACTAGTCGGGTATCGTCCGGATCCCGCAACTATCTGAAGCTACAGTCCGAAAACAATACAAGGCCAAAGTACACGGCCATACAAGGGCAAAATATAGATTTTTCTGCGTGCGAAATTAAACGTTTCCTGGCTACATCGCATGCTAACACATTGCTACATATACTTGCTACAATGTACATTTCATAATATGCATTTGCGTTGATCATTGCACTGTACTTAAGGCACATTTACAACTCAATGCTACACTTAATACACTATATATTCTTTGCAACATATTACGCTGAACATTATTCTTGACAATTCAACATAGATTCTGAACAATGTAATTGTTTAAAACTCACGTAACTGGATTAAATAGTACATAACTTCGTTATATAAGACAGACTTAAATAAATAACTTGATACAACATATAAATAAAATAGTGAAATCTTCACAATTGCTTATTATTTGATCCAGGTTAGGTTAGGTTAGGTTATTTAATTATGGCAAAGCCTCGAGGGCTATCTGCCTAAGGGAAGGGATGCCTTCGTGGAGGACTTTTTAAGGGAAACTGGCTCGTATACATGTTACACATGGGGAAAAACACGAAAACACCCATGCAGCCAGCCCGTTCGCGGGATTCGAACCTCGGACCGAACTACCAGTGTTCAGCGACTTAACCGCTCGGCCGCTGGTGGGCCTTATTTGATCCAATTTCACAATGAAAAGATTCAGAAGGAATCGACGATGCTTTAATTATTTTGTGCAGAAAATTGCGTGGCAGAATATTTTTATCCATTTTGCTTAAATCTTAAAGCACCCGAAAGGTCATGTGACATGACAGAAATATTACTGGATGCCCATTGGTCCATACGAGAAACCACTCCCTCGGTGGCTACACAGATGTGCAGTTGTGAAATATGCGAAGGGGAGTTATAGAACTGTCTCCCCCTTTTTTTTTGCGCAGTGCACATAATTGAGAAGGTCTAAAAGAAAAAAAAATAGCTCATTTATATTTCATATTATGTACTTCATTATTAAACTAGAGGATGCTCAGTGCACTGAAAAATAAAATGTTTTAAAATAATTATCTTTATTCAATGCTTTTCTGCAGCATACTTAGAAGTAGTCATATTAAAGAGATTGTCAAATGAACTGCAATATTCATTACAGTTTGCTGTAAAATTTCTATTGCATCTCAACCTTAGTTCAGTGTTCTAAAAAGCTACATTTTTAGTTTATTATGAAAATTATTAAATATTTTTATGAAATTATATGCTAGTTTGATGCAGTGAATATACATTAACTGGACTTATTAAAAGCATTACAATTTTGGTTTGTTTGTAATAACTATAGTCTTGTAAGCGGTAGTTAATAAAATATGTTTCAAACGTCATACATAATTTGTACAGAACCATTTATTACATATATATGTTATGTTTTAGGTTTTTTAATTTAAAATTCTTTTTGTCTCCTAAAAACATGTTAAAAAAGAAGCAGTAGGATTCGGGTTTAGAATCTAAGCTGTAAAGTTTCCCCAAATTTCATGAATATATGATATTTTTTTATTACAATTCCATAAAGACCCTTTTACTTTGTACCTTGACTCCTTTCTTTCAATATACCTGTATTTATTAGGAATACAGTATACATTGGATTTATTAGGAACTAGTGGAAATTTACGTGTGTAACGAGTTGGAAAGCCATCCTTCTGTGGGTAATTTTACGCTCAGAACGTTTTTAAGATAACGATAAATTTGCATCTTCGGAATAAGGTTGAGCTGAAACTAACAACGGTTTTCGTGAATAGCATATTTAATTTATCATACGAAGAATTATTATTTCATTAGATTTTGTATTTTACGAAGTATTATTTTCTATTATGTTCTTGCAGAAGATATAAATACCAAGATGGAGCTGAAAGAAGCATACGAATCCCTTCTTATCGTGAGTCTGAATCAGCCCTACTCGAAAGAATACGTTCTATTTTCTGAAAAAGTAAAAGAGCTTGCAAAAACGAATTATAACTTTACATACCTGGAAGAAGTGGTAAGATAATGGCTTTAATTTCATTTTATCAAATAATATTATAGTTATTCTGGAAATAACGACATATTATAATTTATATATTACTTTATTTGAATGGTACTTAAATGCTCAAAATTTAAGATTGCAACAAATAAAACCTTATATTTCTGAAGGCATTCTGTAATAATAAAAGTAGGTTTGTATCTAATGCTTCACGTATATGAGCTTCATATAATGAGGATATTTAACAAGAAACGTATTTTAACGTTTAAATACCATGCCTTTAGTTTAAAAAGTAAATATGTCTTCTCTTAGTATAAATTTAAAGACAAATAGTAAATTATCTTATAAGATGTTTCTCCCGCTTTCCTAGCGTGCCTTCATGGTGTAGTGGTCTGCACGCTGGCCCGGTATTCCAGAGGTCCGTGGTTCGATTCTCGGTGAAGGCGTTTGCTCATTTTTCATCTTGCCTGCTTCCAAAAAATAACCTAATGTCTCTACAGTGGCGCTCGAACTAAAAGGGTGTTGGATGAGGATTCTCCACACCCGGATTTGGCGATTGGGTCCCTTAAATACCTTAGTCGCCCTTTAAAAAAGGGTGTATGTAAGGTATTTTTCCCGATTTTCTATCGTGCCTTCGTGGTGTAGTGGTCTGTACCCTGAACAGGTATTCCAGAGGTCCATGGTTCGATTCCCGGCGAAGGCGTTTGCTTATTTTTCATCTTGCCTGCTTCCAAAATACACCTAATGTCTCTACAATCTTTTTAAAGTTATACTGTAATTATATGATGACAGATAATATTTTAGGAAAGGATTTTTTAAGTTTAAAAGCCTAATTTTATATTCGAAACATTATGGTAATAGAGAATGTTAATTTTCATATACAGTTTATTAACAGATTTCGAAAGCTATTTAATTTATTATGAATTTTGAATGAGAGAACGCATGAAAACAAAATAAAAATAGAAAGGATTTTTTTCCACTTAACTAGGGCATTATGCCCCTAAATACGTACTGTAGGAATTTGATAGATTTGAAGCAAGCCATAAGTATAGTAGTTGTTTTTTAAAACAGATAGCGAGCATTAATTGTAATGCTTGTTCTTGATCTTGAACAAGTAAATAACTTCACGAATGTCTCGAAATGTACTAATTTGTTACGAGAACAAAGAAATAAAATAAAGGCAGTTTATTAATTTCTTACTATTTATTACTTTATCATATGGGAATCTGAATATAATTCCCTTTAAAACCCATTGTAGAATAACTACTAGTTAATATTTTTCCAACAACAATATTCTTGTAAGGAAATGCAGGGGCTTCTTTTTTGGTGAAGTAGTTAATACATCTAACTAGCATACAAAAAGTCTCGAATTTCACATACCTAAACAACAATACTTGAAACGTATCGATTCACTGAAAAAATAAACTAATTCAGAATAAGCACTTTTTATCACAAATAGTTCAGAATTTTAGTATGCAATATGTTCCCCACTTTACCAACTCGTAAATACCTAGAACTAAGCGACAGCAAAATAATTTAAAATGAAAAGATTTTTCAGATGCATGGAAAGTTCGCACTTTTTATCACAAATAGTTAAGAATTTTAGTATACAATATGTTTCCCGCTTTACCAACTCTTAAATACCTAGAACTAAGCGACAGCAAAATAATTTAAAATGAAAATATTTTTTAGATGCATGGAAAGTTCCGAAAGATTTCGCCAGGAAATTGTTAAATTTCAATTCAGCTTCTTTCTGAGCACATTTCCGACTCTCCTCATAACACATTCTTTTCCAGCTGTATGTTCAAAACTATTGAATGCATATTTCTTTTCTTGTTATCGCTTACCGCTTACGAAGCGGGTAAAAAATGGCACTTACAAAATAACGTAATCGGTAGCTAAGGCCATTTGCTGCTCTAGGAATAACTTTTTCCTTGGTGGCTTTGAAAAGGAAATTCATTTCTTATTCGTGCTGAGCAAATGATTAGTCAATAAATCAACTGCTATAAAGAGTTTAATAAATGAATAGCAAAATATTTAAATAAAAACATATAAAATTTACAACAAGCTTAATTGTAAAAGGCCCTCCAACGGAGAAAATGCAGTTTAGATAATTGAAGTTGTACTGTCAATTCTTTCTTAGAAATATTTACAGCAAGGGAAGTATTACCGGTAGACCTAATCAAATTGTAAGGATCGTGTGTTATGTAAATGACAGAAGAAAAAATGAGAAAGCTTGTTAGCGTAATTTGATTGGATAGCAGACACACGCTCAAAGAATCAAAGCAAAATTTACGCAAAGCGACCTTCGAGAATAAAGATCTAGGAAATATTACGATAAATTATGCCCATGTTGATGCTGTAATGACTAGATCACGTGTCTTTTCAAATTAGTTAAGGCGTTAGAAAATTAGGTACTCCTTGCAAGAAATAAAACGAAAGACGATAGGAAAGGTTTTAATAAGCAAAATGTGTTGGTAAATCGTGTATATAGGATTCTATCATTGGTCAAGACAATTTCTTTAAAATATACATCTACATCCAAAAGCATAAGGAAAGCAATAAAATTAATTTGTTTACAGTAACAAGGAAATAAACATTGTAAATTATTTTACCTTTTTTCATTCCTTGTAACGATGTAAAGAAAATATTGTAAGAAGTAAAGAAAAGGTTATAAAATTTAGGGTATCGTATTTCGTCAGAAATATCAGTTTCGACCATTCCGGAATCTATTAAACGCTTGGTTTGCTTAACGTTTGTATGCACGGACAGAATAATGGACTCTTTTATCCAAAATGGATGGTAAAATGAATTCAAAAAGAATTTTTCGTGATGTCTGCACATGCGCAAATATTTTTAAGGATTTTGTATTTAGTTGGCTATTTATAGTAGAATTGTAATTAAAATTGTTTCCCCGTGTAATGCAGCGCGTGACGAATTTTAAGAGAAAGCTACACCGAAAAAGTAAAAATACGCACGCACATTTAACAAATAGATTTCCCGTAATTTATATTTAAAATGAAATAATGCAATTGTGTGCTAGCTGTAACTGTAATTCTTCCCTTTTGCTTTCCAGAAACCTCGAGAAATTATGAGAATATTCTCGTGACTTATTAGAAAGAATTTAATAAATGAATAGCAAAATATTTAAATAAAAACATATAAAATTTACAACAAGCTTAATTGTAAAAGGCCCTCCAACGGAGAAAATGCAGTTTAGATAATTGAAGTTGTACTGTCAATTCTTTCTTATAAAAGCTGGAGAAAAATATCTGAGTTCAGTTGTTCAGGTAACTGTTGTTGTTTTCGGTAGCGAATTCGCGGTGAGATCGGATTAGTTTTCTCTGCACTTTTAATTGTGTTCTATTTGAAGTTTTAGTAGTTTAAAATATAACCACTGTGTAACGTTGTGGTATTATACGAATATCTGTGAGGAAAAAATTCAATATTTTGTTTTATTTCTTATGATAGAACAAATTTTATCAACTTTTCATCAGACTTGTGCATTCAATCTATTACAAACCCGTACGCACGCAACAATATATATTTTACGTATTTCTCATAGCTCGAAAATAATTAGCTGCACAACGTTGAAATTTTGCACCTCCTTTTTTATTGCAATCGGTAGTACCAAACGTATATATGTGTGTGCATATATGTACATGAGACTATTAAAATTTCCAAGACACTTTGTTTAAATTTTAAAAATTTTTTAGCGAAAAAGTTTCAATTGTATGTTTCGGCGAAACGCGTAATGGTGTTAGCTTGATTCGACGTTCAAATAAATGAAATTTCCCTTGAAAAGCCAGTTTGGAAGTCGAATTGGGCTAATTTACCATTTTCCGCTTACTTTTTATCTGTTTCTGTTTTTTTTAATGTTTTACATGTCTAATGGTTTGATATTCATATGTATTAATTTTTTAGTCGTAGTCATATAGTTCCAATAACAGGAGGATAAAAATTTTCAAGTTTGGGCAATGTCAAATTAAAAAAAAAATTAATTTTCAGCAAATACATATAACTACACACTTAATAGCAATTAATGTATGCAGTTAACAATATTTAATATCAGTATATTGTTATTATAAAAGGAATATTTAATAAGCCTCACAAGGAATTTATGTGGTGACTACTTCGGAGTTTTTGATATGCAATATACAAATGCTTACAAATTCTCCATTAGAAAACATCAAAATTACTGTTAAGATTCTTCGGTTTATTTCAAAATGAATAACGCAATAAATTCGCTTTGCAATATTAGAGGTTTATTTGTTTAACGTTCCTTTTAATTTTCGAACTTTCCTTCATTTGTAGGTGAATTATTTCACAGCAAGTTTTCACGATGCTGTTCTGATGCTTTGTGGAGCTATTAATGAAACGATAAGTCTGCTTGAAAATCCCCAAAACGGAACAGTCATCCTATCAAGGCTGAAGAATAAAACATTCAGCGGTAAGTTGATTATAATATAGCATTCAGATTATTAGAAATCTCTAGAAATTAACTTCATAGTCTTTTGGCTTGACTGAACACCTTTCTTTAATTTGTGAATAGTTCCTTTTCTTGAGTATAATTCTTCAGCTTAATCAAGTTTCTTATTGTTTCTAGTCTTCTTACTAATTCTATTTATTGCTTTTGGTCTATAACAGAATCCAGATCAAGTCCACAAGTGTTATCTCCGGAAATAAGGAAAGGGTTGCGTTTGTTATTGGACATTTTATGGAGAGTTCAAGCGATGGGTTTGCATTCATAACTGACATAAGAAAAGTTTCGTTGCTAGGCAACTAGACCTTGATATGAAGCGGAATCTGACATAAGTGTCTAAATGTTCCAACTTTTCAAATTTATTCAAATATGGTATAAGAATTGACCAATACCGGCGGTGCAAACGTGAATTGATTTCTAATCGACGATTTCGCTCTGTTACCTGCGCATTCACTTCACGCATGAGCAAATTTATTTTCAATTTAGTTACAGCTTAAACTCTATTTTACAAGTGTGAGCGAAACTAATGTCGTTTTTGCTTTATAGCAATTGTTGCATCGAAAAGACCGTGAGAACTCTCTCTTATAGGTGAGGAAAAAATTATGCACTTTTACATCAAGTTTCAAGACGCTTTTTCTGCTCAATTATGACCTTCACTGAGATGCAGAACTATAAACTTGTCCATTCGACTTTTGGTCATACTGTGTCATACGCGTATTTTTGGCAATCCGCCTGCTTTGGAACTTCACCGCGAGTTCATATAGATTCTCGAGCGTGTTGAGATTCCTTTAGTTCAAAGAAAGCTAGTATTTGAGGAAGAAACTTAGACAACTTAGTCAATTATCTCCTATAATAAATTTGAATTTTCATAATATGATTTCTGTCAGTTCTTCGACCTTCAACTGGTATTTGCTGAAAAGTTCTGCTTCTAACTTGTCTCTGTCTTTTGCAATGGAGAATGCTTTTAGGATGGCATTTTAAAATATTTTGAATTCGTAGGTGTTACTTTATGGATCACACAACAAAAATTTGCCGATGCATTTGTACCAATTTATTGCCTGCCCTCTTAATGCGGTGACTGCTGTCATGACGTTTTGCATTTCTAGTACTGCATATTGTACAGAATGCGAATTTAAACGTTCAGAAATTTAATAACCGAACTTCTTCCATCAAAAGTCACTACGGGTCTCATAGAGGCTCGCATGATTATTCACAGTGAAGCCAAATCCTTCCATGGGGCTTACTGGTGCTGGTGGGGATTGAAACCTTGTGGTAGGGCAGACTAAAATTTGAGATTCTTTGTAGCACTGTCTGCTACTGTTCACTGTAAGAAACGTGCATTTCACCAAACATAACTTACTTGTGGCGAAACCTCTGTAAAATTATAAGCGACTTATCCTACGTCTAAAGATGAAAGCAAAAACGTAAGAAGGGTGTAAAAGACCCTTTTATTTAAAAGTAAGTAAGTTGAACAGAAGACACATCTGGCGCTTACAAATCAGCCAATAGTGATGGCGAGAAGTCAATGTAGAATTTTAAATTTAAAACTAAATCTAAGTATCTATTATTAACTAAAAGCTACGAGGGTAAATTTAAACGCGAATTTTAGCTGTTAAACGTACACCGGCGTGAAAGCATTATTGGCAAGAATGCAGCAACGCCGATGACAAGAACTCTTATCTTAAAATAACAAACTAGTAACGTGGCCTTCAGCAGGCAGAACTCGCTCTATTTAAACAAACCTCCAGTTAAATACGCTCGCTAATTTGCATTCTGGCAGAAAAAGTGAAAAAGAGATATGACAGTATCGGTTCAGAACTTAAAAAAGCTAGCTAAATAACATAAATAAACCCTACATTGTAATTAACAAGCATTATTACTTTCAATATACTAAATATTGCACATTTTGAAATATCCGTTTTTTAAAGGTTGAATGATTTTATTACAATTATGCTGTTTTATTAAGTCTAGGTATATCAGGTGTTGTAACCATCAATTCTGAAGGAGACCGAGTAGCCGATTATGCACTTTTAGATCAAGTGAATACGACCACCGGGAAATTCGAGGTAAACAGTTTCACTTAGCAATAAGCTTTCAATTTTTAGTTTACTTTATTAGCCATACTATGAAAAATAATTAACATAAAATATTTGAATGTGAAAAAAGCTTATTTGAAAATTTGTGAATGAAAATATTGTATTCCTTACTTTTTTCATATGCATATTGCTACGTCGTTTTTTTATTCCCTGTGACTGCTTCTACACTTAAGTCACAAAGAAAAAGAGAATGAATAACGGGAGAAATGTTTGCAGTGATTCTTAGCAGTAAATTTCATTCTCCTAAATTAAATAATTTTAAGCTGTTATTTATCGAGTTGTTTAAAGCAATTCCTCGATGTCAGAAATTATTTCTGTAGTGCCAGAAGAGCTCCCATAGTTTAGAACGGAATTCATCAGCGGTATTAAAGCAATATTAAGAGTTTATTTTGTCAAGCTAACACTCTACTTGTGCTTTTTATTTGTTAGACTTTCAGTTTTTTTAAGAATACAATTTCTTTCATTACGTACTGTCCGTTACTTACGTCTTTCCCTACTTTTCTTCCATTACCTTCATCTGCAATTAAAAGCAGCTACAATATAAATATCTAGTTTTTATAAATGTTCTGGTTTTTCTAAAAGCAGCAACAATAGTTTCTACAAAAGCAATCAACATTCTGCTATTGACACCAGATTGTTTAAAAAAGTATTCTTTTCCTTCTTTCTTTTTTTAGGGGAGGGATCTTTAAACCTCATACCAGAAATTCAAGCAGAAACATTATATAAAAAATAAAGCAGGGATATATTTTTTGACTTGGAATCGCATAACAAGGTAGGATCAGAAATGCTTTTCTGACGCAGTAAATAACGCTGGTCCAAGCATTCTCGCAGGGAAGCTTTATTTCAGATGAGTAAGATGGACTATGGACTTAGCTGATAAGCATCTATCATGTCATATGACTAATAACTGATCTGGCGTGATGCGTCAATGCAGAGGTCTGTTCGGCTGCCGGACGACAGTTGATTATTTCTTCCGTGGATATACTAAAACACTATTGTGTGACACTTTCGTTGATAGCGGGTATCTTCTTGTGTAAGGTATTTTCTCCATCCTTACCGCGTGCTTATGTAATTGGAAGCATGTCTGGCTAGCAATCGGGAGGTACAGAGTTCGAACTTCGAAAAAGACATTGCAGATTTCTCGCGTTTCTTGAGTTCGAAATATTTTAAATTGTCTCTACAGTGCACCCAAACTAAAAATATTTGGTGGATGATAATTCGTCCCGACCAGGATTTGGTGATGGGGGTCTCCCTTTGAGTGAAGGAAAATTTAAGGCATGTCCTCCTAAAGGTAAAATGAATTAATGTCTAAGATTAAAATAAATACACTGGTGTGCAAAAATTAAGGACGAGACGGTTTTTTCAATATAACTTTGTACAAAAGCTTTCCAAATCAACACATTTAATACCGTAAGATCCCCAATACGTAAGCACATGAGTAATGTAAGTATCACTTACTAAAAGAGAAATCAAAGGGATAAAAAGAAGCTTTATTGAAAAAGTAGCATGGAGCGCAATGCGACAGAAGGCCGAAACAACCCTGTGATGGGTGTCCAGCAAGAAACATCCGGTCTTTAATAGGGGATATGATCTCCCCTGACTGCTAGGTAGGTTTCATAGCGTCTGCCCATGCTGAGAATGAGGGTGTCAATGAGTTGTTGTGGCACTGCTGCCCATTCGTCTTGCAGCGCCAATCGAAGCTCCGGAATCGTCACTGGTGGTAAGGTACGAGCTGCCAAGCGTCTGCCTAGAAAATCCCATACATGCTCGATGGGATTGAGATCCGAAGATCGTGCCGGCCAATCCATACGTTCAATATCCTCTCTCTAAGAGCTGTTCGCCAGCTACTGTTCGTTGACATGGTGCATTGTCGTCCATGGAAAGGAACTGCGGACCCATAGCGCCTCTAAAAAGACGCACATATGGAAGAAAAATCTCGTTACAATAACAGGTCCCGTTGACTGAACCTGCGTCGAAGATGTGAAGGTCTGTACGACTACCAAGCATGATGCCTCCCTAAACAAGAACACCGCCACCTCCATACCTGTCCCTTTCAATGATGTTCGAGGGATGATTGCGGCTTCCCCGCTCTCTCCAGATGAGTATGCGATGAGAATCGCTACTCAGACTGAATCTGCTCTCATCTGTAAAGAGTACTCGTCCCCATTCATTGTCTCTCCAATTCCGGTGTTCCGGGCACCACAGAGAACGCCTTCTCAGATGGGCAGGCGTTAGAGGTACACACCGTACAGGGCGTCGTGCAAACAGCCCACCACCGTGCAGTCTTCTGGCCACGGTAAAACGCGATATCGGTTGTCCAGTCGCCTGTGTTGTGTGTCTAGCGATTTCTCCCGCTGTCTGCCGCCTGTTTCTTCTGTCCTGTAAGGCAATATACCGGTCATCTGCGGGTGTGGTTCCTCGTGGACGAACACTACTAAACCCCCGGATAGCTGTTCCTGTAGTTTGAAGTTGTCTCCAAAGTCGTGAAACGATGCTGTGAGCAATTCCGAATTCTGCAGCCACACTTGTCACACTGCGGCCTTCCTCCAACTTCCCAATGATTCGACCCTCGGTAAAAGCATCCAGATGTCGTCTAACAGATTGATTTATTCGCCATTTCTCGCTGAGCAGCAGCAACTCGGTGTGATTTTAACTGCTATACGGCGTACAATCTCTTTGCCAGAAATACTGATCTTACACCGACAACATGCTTTATACTACTCAGACACTTCCCCATTACGTCTACCTGCATATCTGCGCACGTGCTACCGTACATCACCTTACTTAATCTCCTGATTGGTCTTTCTGTCCGCTCTGCTTCGTCGTTCAGTTGATATGCTAATTTTTCGACTTCGTCCTTAATTTTTGCACACTAGTGTATGCATCACAGGAATATTGGCTTCAAATTTCTGCCAGATCACAGATTGTTGCAATTGTGCCGGACTAAAAAGTACTTGAAAGAACACTGGTGTCCCCATTGCTGTGTTACGCTTAATCCTGCTTTAGACATAGAGAGAGAATTAAGATTGCTCCTTATCAATTCACATAACTTGAGTCTTAACTTAATCAAAACTCAATCTTCTAAATCTTTAAGTTATAAGGATTTTTCCCCTCCTTGCCTGTGCTTTCATGGTATAACAAGAAACAGGTTGGTAATCGAATGCTCTGGAGTTCGAAACCCGGCAGAGGACTGAACACTTTTCCAGTCCTGCACCGAAAAAAAGTGTTTAATGGTCTCTACACTTTTACTTATAATAGTTTCACAAATGTGCATTTATTGTTAAAATGCAAATTCACGTAAATGATTCCTTTCATTTCTGGTATTTTCGTTATATACTTTCCGACCTTCCATTGCTATGCGATTTTAAGTCATTTGGGTGCATTTCGTGCCTCGTTAAAGTTCGTAAACCTGGTACTGAGGCACTTTGTATATAAGATAAGTAAAATATTTGTACTTTTGAGTGGTAAGATAAGTAAAATATTTGCACAATTAGCATTGAAATTTAGTGAATAGTCTTTTCAAAATGAATGTTTTTTTCATGGTTCAAGATTATCTTTCTAAAATTTTCTGTGTTCGAAACAATTGTGCCTATATTCTTTGCATAATTTTTTAGAACAACTTATAAGATTATCTGCGTTCTAAAAAAGAATCAGTTTAAATGCGAAAAAAAATTAAACAAAATTAACAAACATACAAAAAGAAACATTGGGTTGTTGACTCTTAATTTTTATTTTATCTTTTGATTAGTAAAATAATATTTGCTTCACTATTATACTGAATTTCTCTTTACCAGTGCTGGGAATCGTCCGTACTAATTCTTCATATACATGGAAGAAATATTAAAAATAGTGGTGTATAATGGTGTATAATGGTGTATAATGGTGCACATTTTTAGAAAAAGGATAGCTTAGCACTGAAATTATTCATCGTCATTGATAAATAACCCAGGGCAGCTTTACGTAATTTCAAGAAACTGCTTTTAAAGGTATTGCAGAAGTCAAGCAACATTTAGGATAATTCAAAGTTCAACGGGTTCTTTTTCTTCGCTTTGGTTTACGTTTAATTTGCAATACAGTTATACTGAATTTTTAAAGGAACATTGCGCAAAGTTACTTAAACATCAAAATAACATAAATATAGTAGACATTAAAATCTTAATAGGAAAAAGATCTGAAATTAGCAGAAAAATAAGGAAATTTTTGAAAACCTACGAAAATACTCTGAAATTATTGAAAATAAATTGAAGCCGTGATAAATGTTGCTGCCTAGTTCGCAAGTTTTGGTCTCCTCAAATAGTGTACCGAAACATTCTTTAAAATATAGATTGGTTCATTGCATTCATTCAAAAGCTCTTTTATAGTACTGTGTCATACTGTCTAGATTACAACGCATTATTTCAGCTTGTAATACTACTACTTTTAAAGCATTTACTGATCGGTTTGATGTTACTTTGTCTCGAAAACTGTTCGTATAAATTACAGTGCAGAAATTGTTGTGTTTAAATTCTTATTTGAGATTTTATTCTAAAATGATTCAAAATTTTCTATTTCATTTTTAACAGTGGGTATGTTAATTTTTGAACCTTCGAATTTCATGTCATCTTAATCTTTATACTAACATAAAAACTGGGAAACACTGAAAAAATTAATATTATTGACGTGTAATAAATGTGTTCTACCGGGTGATCAAAAAGTCAGTATAAATTTGAAAACTTAATAAATCACGGAATAATGTAGATAGAGAGGTAAAAATTGACACACATACTTAGAATGACATGGGGTTTTATTAGAAAAGCAATAATCTGATCAAAAAGCAATAATCTGATCAGAAAGTAATAATAGCATAACAAATTAAGACAAAGCAAAGATGATGTTCTTTACAGGAAATGCTCAATATGTTCACCATCATTCTCAACATAGTTGTAGTCGAGGAATAATGTTGTGAACAGCACTGTAAGCATGTCCGGAGT